ACACACAATAGAACACTTTTCACATGCTCGGTTATCCGTTTGACAACATCCGTTGTCCCTCAATTGGAGATTCACAGGATCGCGAGATCAAAGAAAAAGAATCGATAGCGGCCACTTTTTGTTATCATCGATGTCATGAATCATTCTAATACAAATGTGAAATGTCGGCCATACGAATTGTTCATCCGAACGACTCTTCAATAGGATCGAAAAATTGATAGAGAAAGATCCACTGTTTGTCGAAGGTAGGATTGTTAGATATCTAAATAGCAATGGTAATCCAATCTCTTGAATAAAATAACATTTTTATTTTTAATTTTTGTGTGTATAAAAATGTATATCAATCCATTTTTGTAGTTAACTCCAAAATTGGTGTACATTAACGCATTTAGTAAATAATATAATAAACTAAATTTGAATCAATACACTTTCTCGAGTTAAATTGTTTAACGTTGTTTTAGTTAAATTAATATATTGAGCAGAAGCAGAGAGTAGTGACTTATAAAAATATAATTAACTCAATTGGATATAATTTGATATTATGAATTTAACAGCATCGGTTTAATTTATTTTTTAATCTTTTCCAGTTCTAAGATAATAAAAAGAATAAATTATACCAAGATAAAAGTCAATCTAAATTGAAAGAAATGGCCATAGAACACCATATCTTTAAATCGATGATTTCGTTTTTGATGTGTGACGAAAATTGGAATTAAAAAATTTTTATCAAAACAATTTAACTCGAGAAAATTTAAATTTATTATTAAGTGCGTACATGCTTTAAAACTAAAATGGTTTACATTTTAACACACATTTAAAAAAAAACAAAATGTTATTTAATTCAAGAGATTGGCTTACCAATTGCTATTTTGATATAAATAATCTAATCTATCTAGTCTATTGTTTTAGTTAAATTAACGATATATTAAGTCGGAGTAGTGGTGACCTAGAAATGATAAAAAGTAACTTAAATTGGGTATAATTTGACATTATGAAGTTACCAATAATAAGACCTACGTAAATACATATTGACACGCATCGCTTATCACGAAGGCCTCTGATATCACGGATATTAGACGCTTCGGCAAGGTAAAAGGTCGTTTCAACGATATCGATGTCTTCGCCCGATGTCCGATAAAGTATCTATGAGACGAACGACTGTGCGCGCGTAGAGTCGTCTATCTATGAACTCAATTCAGTTATTCATTCATTAGATCTAGCCATTTGTGCTATTCTTGGTGTAGGCGCTTCATTCTCTTACATTTTCAGTGCAAATCTTGTTATTATTACATTAGCGTTCAACACCTGTATGAATTTTTAAGAAACGCTAATTTTATCTCAATCTTCATTTTATCTCGTTATTTTGAATTTGATTCTTTCAATGGAATTTTGATTAGATTTCGTAATTGCTGAATTCACCTTTTGCATTCGAAATAAAAACTTTAAGTAAAGGTCACGTCGTATGTATCATACTTTCTGTTGTGTTCGCAAAAAAGTACCTTCAAGTTCGAAATAAGCTACAAGAATGTCATTATCCTGAGAAAATTTTTAATACGAGACAATCCTACGCGTTTGATTCTTGATTAAATTTGCTTTGATTTGCAATAAAAAAATGTAGAAGTTTTTTATTAGTATCGTCTTCGATAAAAACGTCTACGATAAAAACATAACATGTATGCAGGTTTATTAATCTTTTAATAATGCTCTTATTAATGCTCTAACGAAGAAAAAATTATTTTTCATAAAAATTAACAAACATTACAAAACTGGATAGTGTTGTTAACTAGCAGATTTTTTTCATGTATAAATATGAGATTAATATTATAATGAAAATTGTAATACGGAAAACACAATTGTGCTGTATCTAAAATTAAATATAAATCTGAAAATAATTTGGTTAAATTAAGCTGGTTGCTAGAATGTTAAAATTTGTTGCAGCACTGCTCATCATGCTTGAGCTTTCTACATAATTATTTTGATGTCTAATAAAATTTCGGATTTGTTAACTAAATTTTTAGATACTTGAGAAAAACCATTCCTTTCGTTCATTAATTTATACCATAATTAATCAAAATAGATTGAGTTTAATTAAAAAACTTTGAATTAATTAAATGATTAATATGCTTTGTTTTATTAGAGAATAAAGAATAACAAATAAAATAATACATAAAAAAATATTTTTAATATGAGAGCTACTTATTTCAGAGCTACTTATTTCATTCAGAATTAGAATTAAAAATAGTTTTTCAAACTTTTTACTTTATTTTAAAAAAACCATTATATATGTATAGATCTTAAAAAAGACTTTGTCATTTGTTGTTATATCTATTTGACTTTTTGATATCGCGATATACGTACAATTATCTGCGGTGACATATAATTATTTTCACAGATGTCCGACAACTATCTGCAATTTTGATGTATTTATCATTTATTATAAGGCATTAAGTGCATTTAACATTATGTTATCGAAACATTTAAAAGATTACAAAAGTGGCGCATAAATATCGTATACACGTGTAAACTACGTTAGATCGCACTTCTCTCATTCTGTGTATATCAGAGGTGATCTCCTATTCGACATCGCCCAACATCGGCGATCGATCCGAACGTCAAGAGAGAGAGAGAATTCAAATTACCACACGGTACAAGAGGCGGTCGCCGTAATTGGTATTCCTGAGCTACGCTGAGAGATATAAAGCATCAGTCGCGGTACTTAACGGTATCCAAAAACAACGAGCCACACCGCGAGTCGAGTTTCGTCAAATAATCTCACGACACCTGCAGTTTCTTCCGACCGACCCTCACCGCGTTGCAACGTGCCGCAATTTGGTTTGCACAAGTCGCACAGCGATGCGGGTGCCGACACTCGCCGGCTGTTCAACGACGTTATGATGATGATGATGATGACCAAAAGGGGAACATACTAAGCCAGTGGTCTCCTAGTGGCGCATGCTGTATGTGAAATAAAACCGCATAGTTGTGCATAGTCATACTGTTAAATTGTACATAATACGTAGAGACATCGCCAGGCAATTTAAAAAAAAAAAAAAAATCGACGAAAATGCTATGCTTGGATATCAAACTCGTTTCGCGACTGCGGGGTGTCTCCTCCGGAACTGCCTCGTCAACCGCGTCATCAACGCACCCGACGACGGCCTCAGCTTCGTCATCCTCGATGAGCTCCGCGGAGAAAAGCAAGTTCCGCAGAGTGAAACGCCACGAGAGTGGCGAGGTCGCCAGCTCGACTACGACCAGCGACAGCGAAGAGGAATTGTTACGACCTAGTTCGACTATCCAGGAGATGATACGCAGGAACAGATCCAGATCGGTATGCGTGGCGGCGCTCATGCCGTCCTCGCAACTTAGGCAGCTACATCGACGTGCCAGTCATGTGTACGTTATTCTAACGCGTGATCTCTGCTCTAATGGCGATGTCACGTGAAGCCAAAATTGCGAGTCAAGTAACAAGTTGCTGATTTACTCTCTCGATTATATTATTTTCTTCCTTGAAAAGGATGAGCAAGTAACTTGTTATTCTCTTGCTGTTCAACTTCCTATTTGTCGCGTGAAATACCATACCAATTTACTCGCTGACTTTTTTTTTATTACCTTTTATTGAAAAACAGAGTAATTCGCTGCTTGTTGCTTGACCTTTTTTCTATTTACTTCACTCAGAAACCAATAAAACCTTGTCACTGAAACGACAATCTAACGGGCAATACTGTGCGAAACCCGCGACCCGAGCGAATCCCGAATCTTGAACAGTAATCGTTTCTCTTTGTCTCTTTCATGTAACGGCCTCTCCCGATTACCCGGCCAATTCGACGTAGCTTCTCGTTAACCTAGATATTCATGTCGTGAAAAATGAGAAGCGCGAGAGAGGGATTGAGCCGGCGGACGAAGGGTGCCACCGTATATTACGTTCACACTACGGAGGTAGATACGATTCGCTCACCGGGGGATGATTGTATTTGATCGAGATACATTTAGTGAATCAATGATAATTATTCTGCCGATAGCATTTTATCGTTTAATCATCCGTGCGAGAGAGAATATCGAGAAACGTGGTTCTACAACCTTTTAATATGATAGATTATTTGCTCGATGTAATTAATGCTTTTTAGGGAAAATTTTTAGGAGAATATCGTATATCATCCCTTTGCTTCAACTTCTCAATATTCAATATTAAACATCTCTGTAATTAAATTCTATTCTTACATTGAAATTAAAGACAAAATTATTTTACTTGAAATGATCAAAGATTTTTATCTATATCATAATAATATTTAGTTAAAGAAAGATGGAATCTAGATTGAATAAAAAATTAATCAGATCATTCTATGAAATGAATATACAGAAATCGATTTGCAATGCTGGATCGATTTCGGAGTGAGATAGATAATTCGAGAAACATTTTTTTAACATTTTTTTAATCTACGTAATTTTCAAATAGCAAACGACGTATTGGAAACATCGTCGAAAAGACACGATAAAGTTAGAAAAAATATATTAGAAAAAATATACGTGTTCTCGGTCGAGAATTCACCACGGCGGACGAGGCGTGTCTTTCCTGATGCGAACGATTCCATGAGAATGCGTACACATGTAGTAAAAAAAAAACTATAAAAACGTTTGCTCGCAGTGAGGTCATTTGTTTCTGAATAGTGCGAATCACTTCGTAAAAAAAACTACATAGAAAATCAAACGTATTTATAAAACGCGCACTACGTCTCCGGCGAGTATGAACGAATAAACTACTTTAATTAAGCGTCCTGTGAAAAATCTCTCAAGATAAAATATATCCTCGCGATGAACTCGCGGTCAAATCTGAACATGTTTTATATCATGTTTCAGAGCCACCACGGATGCAATAGCGAGGCGAGGTGTCCTATCGAGACGATGTTACGGCAGTGTCGAAATGGTAAGGGAACAATGAAGCAGATACATATAACATATCTAGGTAAGAGCCTCGCTCTACTTGTTACAAGGGTCTTAGCCGTATGCACAAGTATTTGTGCAAGGTAAACGCTAATCGTTTCGATAAAACGAACGAGCGCCCTATGATAATTCATGACACGTCCAGTAAGCTGATTATATTGTTTCCCTCTATCTTGCTGTTTATCTATTGATTTGCTTATCGCACAGTTCGTCGAAGGTGTACCCGGGCAGTGCTTGGTTCGCGTTAATATACGGTGTCACAATATGTTCAGACGCGTCAGTTTTATCGGAAAATAATAAATGAAAAATTCTTTAAAATCATTAAGTCTGTCAAATAGAATTTCAATCAAAAATGTAATGTACGTCTTTGATAAATCCGTGGGTGAAGAGCGTACTACTTTATATTAATAATAATTTATTTCATAAAATTTTCTTTCAAGGAATTTGAATTTTATATTTAATTTTTCAACTTTTCTATTTCTTAAACATATATGTTTCATTCGGTCTACTTTCAATTCTGTCGCGACTCCCGCGACTTTCAATCACAAACGGAAGGCTGCTAAAATTTTTTTTTTTAATGATTTATAAAACGAGAAAAAAAAAGAAAAAAAAAAGAAAAAATATTTTTCAATTAAATTCGAATACCGAATTTCGTAGAAATGAAATCGAGTTCTCGAAATAGATTATTTATATAAAGTCTACATGAAAAGATTTAAGACCTGGATTCGATTTTACCACGATTTTACATTTCATTCGTACGTTCGAAGTGAATTCGCAAATTTGAAACTGGAGCATGTTGACTCACACGGACATTTCATGTTATGTATGTATTTGATAATTGTGACGCTCGAAAATGTCTTTCTAGCTGCCGCAGATCGAGCAGGATGGTGCCGACAATGGCAGAAGATTTCGAGTGGAGAACGGAGATTCTCCCGGGGAAAAAGAAGAGGTGAGGAAGCGTTGCTTAATAATCAAACGATCAAGTTCTTTCTTCTACCACTCGAAAGATTCGTCCCGTTTCGCGTAATTGCTCGTTCTTACTTCATTGTTATATCATTCTTTCATCGTATCCCACTTTCTGACACGGATTATGTTTGTAACGATAAACGATTTTTACATTAACAGATGTTCGGTTCGCCGAGTACGCCAATATTAGAAAATCCAGAGTACCAAACGCGTTGGTACTTCAAATACTTCTTAGGCAAACGTAAGTTGAACGTTAAGCATATCTGTAACACAATATATTCATATATCATCGCAATTAGAATAATCATATGTTATTATAATCATATATTATTTTGTTTAACATATTTCTGCTTTTATAGACATCCTAATTTTTTGAACTATATTTTCTTTTCATACATAAATATTGAGGAAATATGATGGAACATTTCATCAGCCTCTCATTTAAATCGATCATGTAAATCGATTTACGTTCTTTATTCACTCGATCGAATTTAATCATTGTTGCGTTTAATGAAAATTTATGCATAGAATATTATATTTTACATTTTTTGTAGTAGCTCTCTCGTAGATGTAAGAATTACTACAAGAATTACTTATGATAGATGATTTAATATAGTCAAAGAATAAATAAATAAATAAATAATTAATAAATAAGAAGAAATTAAATAAAAAAGCTATTTTATTTATGCACAGTGCATCAAAATTATATCGCTTCTGATCAGGAGAGAAATCCTCTCTTTCTCTCGGTAGTCACGAGCGAAGTCGGTGATCAATGCGTACCACATTATAGAGTTATTCTATGGAGGCGAACTGTGAGTAGATAATGTATTATTTAGTAGGGAAGATCCCTCCAGAGACCAATTCATGAAATAAGTTATGTTTCTAACTTTTCCTTTCTTTTTCTTCTTTTTTTCTCATATATGTCAAACCTTTGGAAGGTTTCCTTACGTTATACTCAGCTTCAATTTATTTTACAAATGAAATATTTATTGCTACAACTTTACTTGGTACATATGTTAAACCGATATCTATATATCTCTTTGTAATATCTATCAGTTTACTGCATATGGCATGCGAATATAAACTTTAATATACTTGATACCCATCCTTTGGTAGACTCATACTTCGGAGAATAAAATTATTAATTCCAAATACAAAATTATTAATATATAATTATTATTAATAATAATTATATAAATCGTAAATAAATTAAGAAATGTTTTATGTAGGGCGCGCAGAAAATATCGTTGCCGTATTCGGCGAACAAAACAATGACTATCAGACAAATTCTCAGGTAACTATCTCTGTGTCCACAAACTAAAAGAAATACGATTGCAATCTATTATTGACCTTTCAGCAACTTCTTCAGTCTGGAAAAACTCGACAAAGCGCCTCGTGAAGTTTTCACGCCCGAACTACAAAAGGTACGTTTACAAAGATCTCATACCATTTCTCGCTCAAGTAGGACGTTGTAAAGGAGGTATGGATTAATTCAATGATCCTTGACAGGATCTATTACTGTTGGAGGAACAAGAAGGCTCGGTGAACTTTAAGTTTGGTGTAATCTATGCAAGAGAGGGTCAGATCACCGACGACGAGATGTTGTCTAACGGTAAGCCTGGAAGTGTCGCTGAGAACAAAAGAACAAGTTTATTGGTGGGATGGGAAATTAAGTGATAATAGATGTGTTATCGATCCCTGAGGAACGTTTCTCATTGCTCGTAGAAAGAGGTAGCCCGGGCTTCGAGAGCTTCCTGGAGATCCTGGGTGAAAGGATACGGCTCAAAGGTTGGGACAAATATAGGGGCGGCTTGGATGTGAAAGGTACGTTGATGACATGAATATTGGCAGTGCAAACTCGAGATGTGCAATCAGAAAAGGTCTGCAATCGTCACTCGTCTCTTCAGATTGTTACGCTGGCAGAATTTGAAAATGTTCTGCCCTTTCTCCAATTCTTCCAACTAACGAATCGTTTAATTACCATATTTTTTATGACATATATTTTTAATAATACATTTATAGAAAATATATTAAAATATTGATAAACACATTACTGATATAACAAACCTTTCTTTCAATTTTGTATAGTTTCTTTGGCTTTATGTATCACATTCGTGGCTTGAATAAACTCGTACTAACCCAGAGGAAATCTTTCTCTTATTTCCACGATTCGCACGTTCTGTCGTTTTTCAGGAGATATGACGGGAAAGGAAAGTTATTACACGGTTTATGCAGGTCACGAAGTTATGTATCATGTTAGTACGATGCTACCGTATTCAAAGGACAATCCGCAGCAACTCGAAAGGAAAAGACACATTGGCAACGATATTGTTAACATCATTTACACGGATGATCCATCAGCCGTAGATACTTTCAATCCGAACTGTATAAGAAGCCAATTTACCCGTAAGTTAAAAAAAATATCATGATAAGGTCACGAACAATATATCAAACTGAACTTCGCCCATTGTTGTTTACATAAAGAGCACTCGAGTTAAAATAAGACGTAACGTAGTAATTCTCAATCTCCTTGTGTCTTTTTATTACACCTACAGATTTTGTTCACGTTCTTTTAAACTTAATACGTTATATCACGCACTTGGCCTACTTGCATTATAAATCGCTAATTATAATACATTACAAATATAATTTCAGATATTGCCTTTAAAATTATTTTTCCATAGATTTCATCGTCCTTTGTTTTAATTACTAATTACAAATTAATTGAAAAAATAATAGAATAGAAAAACTAATATAAAAGTTATATAACTATATTATAGAGTTAAAATAAAATAAAAGAAAGTCATTAAATAAATATAGTTCATTTCCAATTACTTAGACGTGTTTGCCGTGGTGACGACCGAGGCGGATGGCAAGAGTTGGCGGGTCGCTATTTATTGCGATGAAAACGTACCCCTGTTCGGACCGAGTCTTCCCTGCCCGCCAGTTTTCGAGGACCCGTATAATCTTCGCGAATTTCTCCTTGTTAAACTGATCAATGGCGAGAAAGCTACTTTTGACACGCCGACATTCTCTAGGAAGAGGGAAAGAACTCTCGACGCCCTATTGCGAGACATGTACCAAGAGCATTCGCAAGACAGCAAGAGCAACGTAAGCTACTTTACACGGACTAGCACTTATTCTCGTTTGTATTTCCCCTGCATTCCAATAATTTTTACTTGCAATAATCTTGATAGGCCATTACCCTTACGGAAATTTAATATTGGCTAATTTAATACTGAAAGACAGTAATTAATCATTTATTTTTAATTAATAATAATTAATTAAAAGTTATTCAGCGTTTTTAATACTCCAAATAAATAATTAGCGTCTTTCAGTATTAAATTAACTACTGTTAGATTTTTTTTTTCCTATATTATTATAATATGAATATTTAATATTTAAGAAATAATATAATATTATAAAATACACACAATATTTAAATATCTCTTTTCAAAAATTGTAAGAAGAAATAATGCTTACCTAAGTATATAGTTAAAGCGAAAAGGATATGTTAAAGAAAATAATCAACTTGATATTTCGTAACAGAGCATGTTAAATCGCCGAGCGCTCTCGGATGTTGTGGAGACACCAGGTCGACGGCGAGAAGAAACACGCGCTGTCGAAATGGTGCGAGTCGGACAAGCCTTGAAATTGGAAGCTATCATGCGTGGCCTCGCACCCACCTCTCTCGCCACTGTCGGTCCTTTGAAGCCCAGGCCATGGGAACCGAGATGCATCTATCCCGACTTTCCCTACGAGGTCGTTTGCGGTGATGTCTGGCTGGAGAACAGGCTGATTCTCGCCTCGGAGAATGGGACTTTTCTCATTGAAGGTAATTTTGCACGAAGTAGATATTATCTCGAAATCTAATTATTTGAGATCTAACAATTTTGATTGTCCGAGAGACAATTTTCTCTCGATCGAATAATCGAAAAGAATTGTATCAAATAACGGTGAAAAATAAATAATATGATTATTAAAAAAGCACTGAGAAAAAAATATTTATCTGTGACTATAAAAATATTTATCTGTGATAATTGTATAGTAAAATAATTATGGCAAGGAACTTAATTTTTATCTTCATTCATAGTCATCATTAGATGACTAACATTATTAACATGATTACGCGATATTAGATGAATATATTTTCGATACCAATTATTGAATATATATAATTTTTTGCATATACAATTATAAATGTAACTATAAATATAATTATTATTATTAACATTAGCAACTATAAAAATGGAGAGCATCTAATATTTTATTCCATAATTATTTTACCATTTAATTATAGTCATGAGTATCGAACACATTTCTCTCAATAGGGCAATTAGTATTCAAGAATCAAATTACAAATTATTACAACAAAAGCTATTATCGGAAATGCTATGAGAATTTTCAATTAAATCTCTTTTCGATTCTCTTTCCAGATGGAGTTTCGCACAGATTGCTCTTTGATGAGTCAGTGCAGATCAAGCAATTGGATGTAATCGAGCAGCACGGTATACTTTTATTCCGTGCTGGCGATAAAGGTAAGGAGAGTAGCGTCTACGTTTTCCGGCTGCGAGAGTTTGAAAGCGATGCTTCCATGAGGTGCGCCGAACTGTTCAACGATCGCGAGACTAACGAGCGAGAGAAGGAGGAAGAAGATGATGACGAGGACGCCGAGGATGACGATGATGATTGTGACGAGGATGACACCGAAGAATGTGACAATTTCACACGTGCCACCGCTAAATTTCAACCGGTAGGACGTCCACGAGCGCGGATGCGCGTTCGCGCCCCGGCCGTTCGAAGCCGAGCGCATATCAAGGAGAGGAAGCTGCGGCGTACACGGGGATGTCACTTGTACAGCATCACGAGACCCGGAGGATCGCATTTACGTATGGTAAGAAGACTGAGTCATACAATTGATAGAAAATTAAAATCTGACAATACGATTTATCATGATTTCCTTGTGCGACACTTAAATGTCTTCTATTTTTCTTTTCATCCTATTTTTTTATTATTTTAAATTTGTACTTTGAGACAAGATTACGATTGTGGTACGAAATAGTGCGTGGTCGTCGGTCGCCGACTCACGGTCCTTCAGTGGAAGCACAATGCAGCCTGGACCATCTGGTGCTCGTCAGCTGATACCGACACCGTCGACGGTTTTCTACTAGTGAAGGAATTTACCGCGAACGAGACACCCTCATTAGTAACAATGATCGAGAGCGTCGATCCAGCAAACGAATGGACATTGTGTTGCGGCGCTCGTCATCACTTCGAATTGATTACCGCTTCCGGTACTTCGAGGATAGTCCACATGGAAGCGACGCCTAAGCCACATTTGGTAGCGGCGTTGGATCTTCGCGAGGACGAGGAACCGGAATTGTTACTTTGTTACAACAGTAGGTCATGTTCCATTTTAATACTTAATTCGAGACATCGCACTCTCAAATTCAATGATGATTCATAACTGGTTTGCAAGAAGTATATTACGAGATTTCAGAAAACATTTATTCTTAACACTAGAACTGACAACACATATATATGTGGTTTCTACTAAAAATATATTATATAAATATATATCGTATAAATACGTAAAGGATTAAATTGATCAATTTACTTCCTTCTCTTCAGATTTTTATATAAATATATAAATATATGTGTATTTTTGAATATTAATTAATCTTTTACATATTGCAAAATTACGAAAATTCTTAAAAATTTATATAAATTTGATTTAAAAAAATACAAAATAGTCACATTGATTGTTTTGATAGTTTCAGTGTTAATTATCTTTTCTGAGTTTGAGAATTAAAAAGGATCTAGTATAGAGTATATTATAGATGCCTATCAATATTCATTTCTCTTCTTAGATACATGTCACTTTCAAAAGCTGGCAGAAGAGAACACTGCGTCAACCGAATTCGATTTTAATTGGAATTCGATACCGACAGTCGTAGGTGAGACAATTAAAAAATTTTCAACAAAAATTATATCATATAATATAATGACAGTAACATTATTCTTTCATTACTGTTTATAACAGCCTGTGCCTTTCCATACGTGATTGCCTTCACTAATGACACGATGGAGATTCGATTGATAATAAACGGCAATCTGGTTCACACAATCGCCATGCCCAGTCTCAACTTGATCACCTCGAAACGGGACATCTTTTTCGCAACCACGGCGCCGGAATTTTTCCCAGGAAAATGTGAGCGAATTCGATTAGACTCAAAACCTCTCGAGAAGGAAGAAATGCCTTGCAGTCCACCACTGACCGCACAGTCTTCGTCCTCCTCTCGATCGAGTGTTCAGAGTACGTGATCTTTAATGTCTTGACCTCCGTTAAACCTCAAAATCCTCATCGATCCGATCGTTATCTCTGAACGCTTGACAAACGTATTGAGGTCATCCTCCCCAAATCTTGGGGAATCTTCCTTTCACAGACAGTCAAGGCGATTGGAAGCCGATAAGGATCTACCGGATACCACTGCAGACGCTGTCGAGAAGCACGGCGTCCAACTGTAACCAGAGAAGATGTCCGAGTCCCGCGGAACCGGAAATCGTTTCCGCACCACCGACTTCCGACAGAACCTTCCTGAGCGTCGAACCTCAACGTGTACACAGCAGGTCCTGCAGCAGCAGTCCTACACCCACACCGACCACGAATTTGCCATCGCCATGTAAAAAATAGACACCGTAGTTTCTTGACGCTTGGCAATCGATTGCATTAATTGTGATCTTAACAGGATCGATTACATAAAAAAAAAAAAAGAAACCGACCGCACGTACCTGATTTCTCGTCTTCGTACGAGAGAACATATGGAAATTTTTGTCATTGTTATGTTATTAGCATGCGTCATGCTACTGTATATCTTGAATGTAAGTGCGATCGCGCACTTATAATATATATCTATAAGTTTATTGTTTGGATAGATTTTGACGAGGACATATTAGTATTTTAATTAGAGAAATCTGTGACATAATTATTTTTCTTCGCTTCTTATGTCTTTATTTAGATATTTCGCTATTGTTATTTTACTAACGTTTGTTGTAGTACATGTGACATTCTATTTGTTCTAAGTTTATGTAATACATAAAAAAAAACGTTTAAATCCAAATTTTTTAAAGAAAGATAATTGCGAATATTTCGATAATAAATTCGAATTCTATAGTGATCCTCTTATCTCGTTATATGCTTCTTTTAATTTTTTTCTATATATATA